TTGTATTGCTCTGTATTGAGTTGTATTGAGGTGTGCAGTAACTTTTAGAAGAGCACAATAAAAGAAGTAAAGCAGACTTCATAGGAATCCGAGTTAGAACAACAGTCCACTGGGTTCCCTCTAAATTACCCCAGCTCGTCCGCCCGCAATGCCACCGCTCTGTCCCCTTTACATCCTACAGCCGTGCCCGGTGCAGCTCTCACCGCAGCCAGTGCCGCCCTCGGTGCGGCACAGCCCGTCCCAGGTGAGTGTGGTGTGTTCCCCCTGCCGTGTTACAGGTGTTTCCATTTCCTGCCCCTCTCGTCACACCTGTGTGCATTTCCCATCCACTTCCCACCCCTCTGGTCACCTGTGTGTCCATTTCCCGCATCCCATGTGCGTGTAAGGAAGCATGAGGGGGAAAGAAACAAGAGGCATAAGGATGGGGAACGAAACATGTGGTGGAAAGAAACATGTGGGGGAAATTAACATGAGGGGGGAAGGAATATGAGGGGGAAGGAAACGAGAGGGGGAAGGAAAGGAGCGGGGGAAAGAAACATGATGGGGAAAGAAACATGATGGGGAAAGAAACATGTGGGGGAAATTAACATGAGGGGGGAAGGAATATGAGGGGGAAGGAAACGAGAGGGGGAAAGAAACATGATGGGGAAATAGACATGAGGGGGAAAGAAACATGATGGGGAAAGAAACATGAGGGGGAAATAGACCTGAGGAGGAAAGAAACATGAGGAGGAAAGAAACATTTATTTGTCCAATGAGGCTCATCAAAGGTCTAGAGCACATGAGGAAGGGCTGAAGGAGTTGGGTCTGTTGAGCCTTGAGAAGAGGCTCAGGGGTGACCTCATGGCTCTCCACAACTCCTGCCAGGGTTGGAGAGAGGTGGGAGATGTCTCTCCTGCCATGGGTGCCGGGAGAGCACGACAGGGAATTGCCGCCTTGGGATAGGGAATTCATGGAGCAAGATGTTGTTCGTGATGGAATTTTTAAAGCTGGATTCTCCTCATGAAAGCCGAGTCGGATGCTCTGGCTGTTTCCTGGGATTTGTGCTCTGCTGGAGCTGATCCACTCTTATCTTTTGCCCACAAATTCTCTTTTTTTCTTATTCCTTTGCTGATGATTTCTTATGGAATCCCAGGATGGTTTTGGGTGGGAGAGACCTTAAATCCCATCCCATCCCATGGGCAAGGACACCTTCCACTTCCAGGTGGCTCCAACCTGTCCTGGAACACTCCCAGGGATGGAGCATCCTCTGGAAAATCCATCCCAGCTCCTCATCACCCTCCTGGGGAGGAATTCCTGCCCCATATCCCATCTAATCCTTCCATTCCGTGTCCTGCCCCAAGGAGGTTGTGGATGCCCCAGGGAGGATGTGGTTGCCCCAGGGAGGTTGTGGATGCTCCAAGGAGATTCTGGATGCTCCAAGGAGGTTGTGGTTGCCCCAGGGAGGTTGTGAAAAACGAAAAAAAAAACTGGTTGCTCCAATCATTTATTCCAGGTTGACTCCAGCCTTGTCCAACCTCCTCCAATGGGAGATATCCCTGCCCAGGACAGTAGGTTTGAACTTGGATGGATCTCCAAGCTCCATCCCAACCCCTTAAAAACGAAAAAAAAAATCACTTTTCCCACTCTTTTTCACCAGCACAAAGCAGAACCCACATCCTCCTGGTCCTTCCCACCACCTCTTCCAAACAACCCGAGGGACTTTTTTTTTTTTTTTTGGGAGTGGTTTACCCACAGCAGGAAACCCCCAAAATTGCTGCTTGGCTGAGCAGGAGAAGGATTTACCTCTGGATCTGTGTTCCCTGAGCCAGAACATTCCTCATTAACTGTGCCCTGAGGTCACTTGGACCTTTCCAAACCTGTTGGAGTTGGAAAATCCTCCTTAATCCTTCTCTCCTTAATGAGTTTCTTCTGCTAAAAGGGTTTGGAGACATCCCCCAAAACCCTGAGGAGCAACTTTGGCTGCTTTGATCCCAACTGGGAGAGCTCAAACCTTGAGCTGAGAGCCCCGAAATGACTTTTCGACATTTTCTTTTTTTTCTTGGAGACCTCTCAGCTTCCCATGGAAAAATCAACACTTCCCAAGAGACAAAATGTTGAGTTTTCCCCAAAAACCTATGGATCTCATCAACTCCTCCACCAAGAGCTGTTTGATGTCTCCTGACTGTGAAGCTTGAGGTTTGGAGGTTTTTTGGGGTCACTGAGCTCATTTCCTTCGACCAGGCTGAAAAAATTGTCATTCCTGAGGTTTTTTCTGCTCATTCCCAGACGGATTAGGGGAGGAATTCACACCTGGAACTCTTCAGGAAGCTCCTGAAGCTTGGAGAGGTGATGGTGTGTGTGAGGGGGAGATGCCTCAACCCAAAAAATTGGAGATTTGCCCCAAAAATTTGGGTTTTAGAGCTCTTTTTTCACACCTAAATGAAGTTCTGACTCCATCAAACCTTCTCAAGGCTGAGAAATTGGACCAGGATTGGTTTTCCTTTTTTTTTTTTTTTTTGGCTTTGTAGGGACACTTAGATACTTGGGGTGGTTTTCCCTGAGGGTGAAGCTGCCTCAACCCAAAAATTTGGAGATTTGCCCCAAAATTTGGATTTTAGAGCGCATTTTCCACACCTGAATGAAGTTCTGAGTCTCAAACCTTTCTCAAGGCTGAGGAACAAGGAGGAAAAAGCTCAACCCCCACAAAGACACCAAGAACCAAACTCAGCTCAACTTGTCCTTTCCACCAGAAGAGATTTTTTGGTTGGATTTTTTTTTTTTTGAGTTTTTATACCACGGGAGGTGAAAAATTACAACTGGTTTCTTCACACGAGGAGCACCATGGGGTGGTTTCTTGGGGGGGTTTGTTCTCCTGCAGCTGAGACCTGGAGGGAGAGGTGGGAAGGGGTTTGTGGTCCCTGGATTGGTCACATCCCTTGGGCAGGGAAGGAGCAGTTGGTTCTCACCTCCAACTGAGCTCCAAACTAGGTCCTACAGGAAGAGAATAAATAAATAAGACCTTGAGTTTAGTTGGATCTCTTTTTTCTGGAGTCTTCTCAAAGAGCCTTGAGGGAGGAGATGGTGGTTCCTTGAGGGAGGAGCTGATGGTCCCTGGAGGAATAAACTGGTGGTCCCTGGAGGGAGGAGATGGTGGTCATCCCTTGAGGGATGAGGGGGTAGTTCCTTGAGGGATGACCTTGTGGTCCCTCAAGCAATGAGGTGTTGGTTCCTTGAGGGATGACCTGGTGGTCCCTCAAGCAATGAGGTGTTGGTTCCTTGAGGGAAGACCTTGTGGTCCCTCAAGGAAGGAGTTGGTGGTGATCCCTCAAGGGATGAGGTGGTGGTCCCCCAAGGGATGACCTTGTGGTCACTTGTGGGATGAGGTGTTGGTCCCTCAAGGGGATAAGGTGTTGGTCCCTTGAGGGAAGACCTTGTGGTCCCTCAAGGGATGAGGTGTTGGTTCCTTGATGGATGACCTGGTGGTGCCTTCAGGTGATAATGTAGAGATCCCTCAAGGGTTGAAGTGTTGGTCCCTGGAGGGATGAGATGCTGGTCCCTCAAGGGATGAGCTGGTGGTCCTTCAAGGGATGAGGTGTTGGTCCCTCAAGGGATGAGCTGGTGCTCCCTCAAGGAATGAGCTGAAGGTCCCTGGAGGGATAAGATGTTGGTCCCTCAAGAGATGAGGTGTTGGTCCCTCAAGGAATGAGCTGAAGGTCTCTGAAGGGATGAGATGTTGGTCTCTCAAGAGCTCCTTTCAAGCCATTCAGTGCAGAAGTCCCATGAACAATTACCAAGTTCTCATCAGGTCCTTTAGGGATGGGTTTGGGCTTGGGGTTTGCTTTGACCTCTAGATTGGGTTGGATTTCCAAAACCACCACCACAACCAACCAGCCAAACCAACAAACAAACAACAACCAACCAACCACACAAATAAATTCTTTTTACAAGAAGCAAACTGGGCCAATATCTACACCAAACTCCTGCTCAGCTCCACCAATGTCCATAGGTGCAATATCTACAATGGGTAGACGAGAAGTCTTCTGCGACCGATACTCGATCACCGTCTTGCCCCACTTGCCACTGTGTTTCTAGGGAGAAGAAAATGCAAGAGAGATGTTAGGAGACACTTTGAAGCCTCCAAATCATCACCACCACCAGAGATGGAACATCATGTCATGCTGGGTTGTCTTCCTCATGGACTCACCGTGCAACCATCCTCCAAGACGCTGTAGGTGAACCTGCTATTGCCCTCGGCTCGGATCTCCACGTCGTTGGAGCCTTGGATGAGAAGAGCTTTCTTCAGGTTGCCTGTCTCCTCATCCATGTAGGCAATGCTGTTCCTGCAGTGGTAGGTGATGTTCTGGGAGCCCTCGGTGGACAGGAGGCGCAGGAATGTCATCTGGATGTTGGCAGTGTTGGCAGCCAAGTCTTCGTCGCCGTAGCTGAACTGGAGGGGACAGAGGAGATGGTGGAAGGTGAGTGAAGGTTGCAACAAGGAGGAGATTGGATGTGGCACTGAGTGGTTTGGGCTGGTTGGTTGTTGGGGCATCAAGGTTGGAGGAGAAGTCCAAGAGCATCAAGTCCAATCCTGAACCTGTCACTTCTGTAACCCCCAAACCCTAACCAGATCCTCCAGTGCCACATCAGACACCTCTGACACACCTCCAGGGGTGGTGACTCGACCCCCTCCGTCTTACTGTAGTTGCCATGGTGGTGTCAGGTCATAGGTTGGACTTGATGATCTCAGAGGTCTTTTCCAACCTGCTTGATTCTATTTTCAGCAGCCTTTGGTTGGATCTCCCATACCTTCCCTTCCCAGGTGGCTGCAGATGCCACAGCCGAACTGACCTAACTCCAAGTCTTCACCACAACCCTCTAGATCATTCACCCTCTCCAACAATTCCACCCCAAGGAAGGACATCCTAACCCTCCAACCAGACACTCAACACCTTCTCCTCTTCAACCTCAAGTCCCATTCCCATCCCAGGAGAACACTTACGTGGAAACCACCGTTGATGGTCTCTGCAAACCAGATGTGTTTCTTCTCTTTGGACTTGCTGCTCCACCAGTTCTTCTTGGGGATGCTGCTGGGGTTGGGGTAGACACAGGTCTCTCCTGTCTCCATGTTGCAGAAGACTTTGATGGCATCCAAGGTGCAGCCCTGGTTGGGGTCGATCCAGTAGTCTCCTAAAGGAGGGAGGACAAGGATGTGAGAACATGAGGTTTGGGAGCTCAGAGTGGACCTTGTTGTCCTCTTGGGTGAAAGAGGCTGAGGGAACAGGGAAGGTGAAGGAGAAAGCTGGAAAAGTGTCCTCTGGGCCAGGAGGACCTTATGGGAGAAAGGACATGCAATCCTGGTGGGATTTTCTGGGACCTGGATCTGCTCTGCCCTTGGCACAGGTTGCCCAAGGAGGCTGTGGATGCCCCAAGGAGGTTGTGGATGCCCCAAGGAGGCTGTGAATGCTCCAAGGAGGTTGTGGCTGCCCCAACCCTATCACTGTCCATTCCAGGTTGGATGAATCCTTGCCCAACCTGCACTGGTGGGAGTTGTCCCTGCCCAGGGCAGGAGGTTGAGACTAGACAACCTTTAAGCTCCATCCCAACCAGGACAAAGCTGGTTCTGGATGACCTCTAAGCTCCATCCCATCCCATCCTATGCCCCCAAGGTTGGCAGAAGCTCTTACCACTCTTCCAGTCAGGGTGGCAGAGCTTGATGTCACGGCAGGTCCTGGCTGGATTTTTCTTGGAGCCCTCAGGGCTGCGGATGCTCTCAATCTGGTTGTTGAGGGACTTGAGGGTAGCGTCCACCTCCACATCGTGTTGCCTCAGGCTCCCGACGGCCTCATCTGCCCTCATGTACCGGATGGGGTCAGGTCCCTTCTCTGTCTGCCCCAGCCCAGCAAACGCTGACATGTCAATGCCAGTGCCAGGAGGACCTGGAGGACCTGGAGGACCTGGATTTCCTGGAGGACCCTATGGAAGGAAGGAGAAGAATCCTGATGGAGCTGCTCTGCAGTGGTGGATGGATCTACCTGAGGGTTGTGGATCTACCTGAGGGTTGTGGATCTACCCGAGGGTTGTGGATCTACCCGAGGGG